GCTTTCTCGTTCTCTTATCCATTAGTCTGTTCAGGTTAACAGAGAGGCAGTATAGCAGGTGAAGAAGTTCAAGTACCTCGGAATTGTATTTACTAGTGATGGAAAATTGGAGGAAGAGATCGACCGGCGAGTTGGATTAGCCAGTGGCGTTCTTCGTAAATTAGCCCGACCCACTGTGACTAAAGCAGAGCTCAGTCTGAAAACTAAGCTTTCAGTGTTCCAGTCGATCTTTATCCCCATGCTTACCTACGGTCATGAGTCGTGGACTATGACTTAAAAGCTTCGAACCCGGGTGCAAGCTGCTGAAATGGGCTGTCTTGGACGAGTCGTTGGCATTACGCGTCTCGACATGGTCCGGAATACAGACATCCGCGAGAGCCTTAGTGTACTGCTGCTGCTTCTTCGGACTGTAAAGTGAAAGCTACGATGGTTTGGGCATGTTGCGAATGCCCCCAGAAATGATGGCGAAACAACCATTTATTGTAAAAACCAGATGAACCTGGTGCAAATATATGGAAGGAGTCTGCTCCAGAGACCAGTTCTCTCTTGCCGAAGGTCAGATTTTGGCACAAGGTGGCTAGCGTTGGAAGCACTGACTAATGCGTGTGTCTCCGCGACCCGAAAGGAAATGTGGTCATGGAAGAGGATGGTGATGAATAGCATTTGGAGGTGACGACATGGCACATAGTTATGCTGCTTTCACAAATTTTCTTTCCTTTGGCGAAGGCGAATGACAGATCTGGAAGAGAAGGAGGCTGATAAATACTTTATTCAAATGAACAACTATTATTGTCTACAAAGGGTGATATAGGGACTAGTCACATTCACTGAGTGATGAAAGCTAGCGACCTTAGTATTGACCAGTCGGTTGTTTCAAAAACTGAAAGCACATTTTTACATGGGCTTCTTCATGACGACGTCGTTGCACGCGGCGAGGAATTCAGGGGGAAATCTTGCCAGCGTGGGAAAGGTTTGCAAAAATTATGCAGTGGTCTGAGTGAGGAGGATAATGATGATAATGATTGCTTACGTTCATGAAAATACAATCCAGTTTGCTGTTTAGATGAGTGTTGAACTTTACAATATCAGTTAAACCAATATGCTCCAGGAAAATGCAGTTGTGACGATTAAAGTTTCCGATGACGACCAGACGATTAGCAGCTGACGAAAAGGCGAAGCGTGGAGTGAAAATGCCTTGAAACTGTACGGTGACTCTGAAAGACAACTTTGAGGTAATATGCCCGTTGCACAACAATACTACTCGGAAACGTTGAAAACATTGAAAACAGGACGCACTATCTCTTTAGCGATATGTGAAAAAAAATCACTCGATAGTTCGCACCCCAGATGTCACTGATTCACGTGACAAGGCCACCACTACGAGCAGCGATTCAATCATGGCGAAAAGTTGTGAAACCTGGTATATCGGTGAACTGACCTCCTGACATAAAGTTGCACATGATTTTGATAAGGTGTGGCCAATAAAGAATCTGCTTCATCAGACTTCTTCGTAAGTGAGCGAGAATTAAGACAAACGATAGACAGAAGTGAGTATTTGTCGAGCAACCTGCTCTTAAGCGCATCTCGCCAGTCAGCTCTAGATCTGCGGGCCCTTCGAGGTCTTTTTGAGTTGCCTCGTACGAAGAGCATTTGCCTTGAAATTTCGAGCCTTGGCAGATGGACTAAGAAAGCGCCGGAAACGTGCCCGGATGGAGATGCGGGGCGAAGCGAGAGAAGTGTCGACATCATGTAGGTGATCATAGTAAGAACCGTACAAGTCACAAAGACGTACAAAAAACCTAGGAAATTCGAGAAAACAAAATAAAACAAAAACACCGATGCCTACAGTAAGCGCTAATAGTCAAATCAATCAAATTTCAGGAGTAGACTCGTGCAATCAGCTCGGTGTGGCTACTGCCGTTGCGTAATGATTCTCGCAAGTACTTTATGCTTTGCCGCTGTAATAAAATTTGCTCGTACGATACGAAAAACGTGCTGATACAAAACATCTTACCCTAATGTTTTTTCAGTCGTTGAATCTGCAACGTGAAACTCCTTTTCGCAGTAATTTGGCGTTTTACTCTTTTCCCTATCATTTCTGCAAGACCTCACGTCATATGTAAATATCTACTGCCCGGAGAAGATGCCACTTACGATAAGAATGTGTTAACTTTCGTGGACAACTCGTCCCACTGTACTGTGCAGCATGACAGGACCAGAACGAGTGCGGAAGTTTACTCAGTTATTATTGATTCTCAGTTCCTTCTTGACAGCTGGTGAGTCTGATTATTCTTATTTTAAAGAATTAAAAATAACATCATTTTTTTATCACAGTGGTCTTATGGCGTAATATTATCTTAGGATTTAGCATTTTCAGATTCACATTTGCATCTCCGTTCTGAAGGTGCAGAGTACAGATGCGGGAAGCCGTACAATATCAGTCAGCAAAAAGATGCAGGAACCGCTGAACATCGCATCGCAGGGGGTACGGACGCTCTGCCTGGACAGTGGCCATGGGTAGTCGCACTGTACAAGAAGGCACGGCTAATCTGCGCCGGTAGTTTAATTGAAGACAATTTCGTTTTAACAGCCGCACATTGCGTCTACTCGAAGTATGTTTCTAAATTACATTTTATTCACGCGCTGTGTTTTAT